TGGACATCTCCTAAACAAGTATTTAAAAAAAATAATAATTGTATTTTGCAGTTTGGTCTGAAAGTCTTGTTTTAAGAGGACAAATCCCATCCCCGACCCCCGGAAATGAATCATGGGGCAGGAGGGGATCATTATCAAGCCTGGAGGCTCACAGACACCCCTCCATCTCTCAAATGCTGCATCACTCAAATGCTGTCTCCTGACCTACAAAAACCGATTCACACTCTACCCCTTTTGTTTTCGACTATGTACCTGCCTTCATCTCTGACTTACGTCACGTTTGTACTGAAGATTACGATCGTCTAGACTCACAGACCTCTGTCAGGCCTTACAACCTTCTTATGGACTGCCAGCACAGCCACCTGGGACCTGCCTTGCTACATGAAGCAGTTCCCTGTGGAGCAGCGAACTGTTTGCTACAGTCCTGCAAGCTGTCAGCAGGCTGGAGATCGCAGGATCCACTGCATCATATCACAACCCTGTTCAGATATTCTGAAGAGCCTCAGGGAAAGTACGAGGTGGAGCAGAAGAGAACCTGTTCTTTGCTGCCTTAGTTGTCCAGGAAGTCTTCACCTCACTGCATTTGGGCACCTTTGGTTCTACTGCTCCTTCTTGGATAAACGGTATTGTGAGGATGGGACATGTCACTGTCAAAATGAACGTCACGTAATGACTGTGTCAGAAGTAGTTGCAGTTTTTGAACAATTGAGAGAATAAGACCCAACTGCATGGATGGATGCAATGTTTTTTCCGCTTGAAGCCTTTTGCTAGCAACAATGCTTCCAATTTAGCATCACTGCTACATGCAACCGTGGCAAGCTAAAGCAGCCAAAAAGCAGAAATACGAAATCAGTATAGACAATGGTTCTCTATAATAAAAGAAACAGCACCCTGAACAAAAACAAATTAAAAAAGATATCATTTTTGTCATTCAATGACAGGTTATTGCAGAAAAGCACCTTGCCAAACGCCCTCTGTTTTGTCCCAAGCAAAATATCACTTACCTTTTGGTATGATTCTCTAAAGAAATTGTAAAGTGCTTTGGCTCAAGTTATTGGGGCAGGAAGCCAACACCATGTTTTGAAATTACTTTCAAGACTTCCAGAAAGTACTGGAAGCTCCCCACATTTACAGAAGCAGCTGTGAGCTAGAAAAATGAAACTACATGAAAATGTAGTGTAATCTCAAAGCTATATTTATTTATTTTTGAAAAATTTGTTATTTTTTAACCCATTTTCTAAATCAAAGCTCTTCTAGAAAAAGACATCAGGTATCTCAGCTCACCATGACTCCTGACCCAGGTCACTCCTACAGCTGATAAGCCTGAAGAACCTGAGGCTCTCACATCAGGGATGCACAAGTACCCTCCACAGAGTAACGTGCACATCTTTCAGTGAATTTTAGACCTATTTATTACCTACATTTAGTTTACCCATGTTGCTGATTTTTCATAACAGTCACTACTTCTACATAACTGTACCTATTCTTAAAAATGTGGAGAGTTTTAACAACTTAATAAATTATCCAGAACGCCGGGTGTTTGTATCATAGCTGTGAGAACATACACATTACAGTCACTGCTGCTGACAGACAGATTGCCAGATCTGTGCTGCCTGACACATTATTATTCTTCAAAGACAGCAGAACCAGAATAACTGAGTATGAGTTTCATCCCAGGTTTACAAAACAGAAACAGCAGAGGGGAGGGCAGGCTGTATGCAACAGAACGGCCGCTGCCACCACCAAGCCCTCCAATTTCTACCCTTGTCAAACTACATAAGAAGTAAGCCCTTAAACCAAAGAAAAATAGATGGGATGCTAAGCATATACAGTTGACAACAAAAAGCAGTGCATTCTTTCTTTATGTGCTAGTTTCACTGCATTATTTCTTTGTCAAATGTATTTTTAGCACTGAACGTAACAAACTTCACCAGTCCACACAGAAACATTAACTGAGCCAGAGCAAGTGCTCATGGGAAAGGTGATGGTGATATTTCTCAGTAACAAGGATAGCTACCAAAAAGGAACTGTTACTTGGAGGCAGTGTAAACACTATTTTTTCCTTGTCACCAATGCACCCCATCTCTGCAGTAATACCGTCTTTTAGAGAAGCAGCAGTGGTTCTCAACAGAAATTCTTGAACCAACGGCATATTAGAAAACCCCAACATTTAAAGGAGCAATAGCCAGAGGGTAACTATTTCATGTACCATTTCCTCACTTTCAGTGTCTGCCTAAGTTTTATTGAACATACCAGCCAACTTGATAATTTCTAAGCACTAATTCGTAGCAGAAGACCGCTGCAGCACATTTATATAAGCAGAAATAACCTGATAATAGAAGTTGCTTCAAGAGCTTGAAAGATTGAAAAGCAACACAGTAGAATATAAAACACACTCATTTTAGTTAGTTAAGGGTCCACTAAAATAAGAGTTTTATCCTATTTAATTCAAAAGGAACTGCAGTTTTGTTTTCCAAAGGTATTTCTGGCAGGAGTTATTTGCGAGGAGAACTCAACTACTGAAATAGGAACATATTATTATCCTGATGTGGCATCATATCTGCTCTTCACAACAGCAGAAGACTCGCAGTAGCACACTTGATAAAATTTGAGTGAGCCAGTGTGTGTGTGTGTTACTAAGATAAAACCCTCAGTGATAAATCAGAATCATTACCATTCTTGGTAGCTCAAGATCTTCACAAACTTTTTTCAGCCCCTAAGCATTTACTATATAACATTTACTTCTGGGGACAGTTTTACTTGAAAATTACTTCATCTTCTAAATTATATTAAATAATTGTATTACTTTACAGTGATAACAGCTTCTAGAAGTCTACAAGTAAAAAACAGAGCCAGACACTCTACACTCATTAAGAGGTATGTTAGTACACCTAAAAATCTTCCTTGATGTTAGCTAGGTCCTTCTAGCTGTAAAGCATTTGAGGATGGGAACAAAGCAGGAGCCTTACACGTCACTCCCAGTATGTGAAACACTGACTTTCAAGAAGAGAGATGCAAGAGCAGCCATGCTGCCCCAGACGACATCTGTGCAACTGCTTTGCACTGCCAACAGCACAAATGAGCAGCTTTTCAACATTGAAATTTACTACTATTGAAGGTCAAACATTTTATCAGTAAAATATACAAACTGGCCAGTCAGGGAAAATATTTTAAAGCAGTTCAGTGTTTATTTTAAGAATATTTTCTGGTATCAGCTTTCAATCTGTTACTGTCCTGTATTTCTTGGGAACTAAACAAAACTAGTGTCTGGTAACACAGAAACAACTAGACACAAGCAGAGAGACAAGGTCTTGAAAAAGGCTGAGCCTCGTTTTCTGAAGATGGACAGCCAGAATGAGATGTGGTACCTCCCATTTCACACTGGGATCATCTATATCATAATGATATGATCTACTTCACTTAATTACAGGCTGTTTTCCCTTAGTGGTAAAAATACTAATGTAAAGGTTTAGTTAGTGCATATTTTGGATCACCTGATCATTCACCATTCAGTTTCCCACAAAATGAAGTCAGCCATTCCTGATGTAAACACGAATTTTTCAAGCATGTAATTTTAAAAATAGGACTTAAATACAAAATAGTGCAGACGTTTGACCTAATGTTCTTTAGTTCCCACTTCTACAAGAAAGTTAGTTATGGTGTCTGAAAAACTGCATAGTAGGGAAATAACTTCCTCAAGCATTTACCTGTATTTCTGACAGGCTGGCCGATAAACCATTTTCAATTAACTGGAAAAATCTAAGCTATTTATTAGTGATCCTCTATACAAGTATCTCTTATAGATACACCAGAACAGTATCATCTTTGTTTCTTAAGAACACTGGTCACCTAAATAATTCTCATTTTAAGGAAAAGTAAACCCAGTATGCACCAGATTCAAGAGATTCACTTTTTAAGACAGCTTTGAAGGGGTCCTCTAAAATCTGGGCTTTTTCTCAATTTTATCATTGAAGTTATTGCAGCTTCCTCAGACTCATAACAGTCATCTTCCACACATTCAGCAGTGTAAAATATTTCCACATAAAGCTAGTATTCCTTTCTCTTTATGACTTTGTTTAATCTATCACATTCTAAAAAGGCAAGGAAATTGTCACCTACTACAGTTTATACCAATTTTAATACAAGCATGGCACCCAGCTCCTGTGACCATGCAAACATATCTTAAGAGGTGGCTTGAATTAGCTTTTTCCTCCTTCCATTTGGATCCCAAGGGAATATATACGGTAACCTCACAGCACACATTAAACTTCTTCCTGTGACTGCCCCATGTGGCCACTAACACTTAAGCATTAAGCAGCCCCAACATCAAGTGATTTTCCGTGCTTTTACAGACTGAAATGAGGACTTAACTACTTAGTAGGAAACACTATTTCTTCAATCTAATTCTTCTTTCATTTGAACACGCTTTTAAGAATTATTCTATGTAAGACTTTGTAAGACCATTGCATACTTTGAGTAGGACTGAAAAGCAGCACAACTCATTCTTCTTGTAGCAACTCATTTCTTCTAACAATGTTTACATCAAAAGCAAATACTTAGAGTTAAATAAGTTAATCTTATCTTTTACTTCATACAATGAAAGCATGTACTGATCCTACACCAAGCACTGTTACGGCTATAAATTTGTATTCTATCCAATGCCTTGTGTGCTCTCTCTCCACTGGAAGTCAGCTAGCTGTCTTCTACGTATAAGGACTAAAACTTACGTTTCTGAGTGTTCGCAATTCTGTGTAATTTTTTCATTGGTAGCTACAGCAATAAAATTTGAACCTATGCTTGTATTTGGCATTGTTATTGTGATGTTTTAATAAGGTTTAAAATAAACCTAAAATTCCTTAGTGCTATGGCTATCTCATAGGATAAAAATTACTTCGTTAGAATTTCTAAAAATATGGTAATTTTCCACTAATCAGAAGTTGGAAGAGCTATATTATTTTCTTAGATGATAAAAATCAACTTCTACTGGATATTTTCCTCACCTTTTCTGTCTGGTTTGAGGTTCCGATCCACTGGCGGTGGCTCACATTCTGCAACAGGTACTGACCGTCTGGGAGGGGTCTTTGGACTGGACCTGAAACCCATGTGAGCGGGAGGAGGGACTTGCTTTCCAAATAACGGAAAATCAAACGTGCCTGGTGTCATTGGTACATAGTTTGTTTCCTGGATGGGTTCAGTGAAGCTGCTGGAATGCTGTCGTGGAGGAGAGTTGGGATTCATTGGGACATAATTTTCATCTAGTTCTTCACTTGAAACACTTCCCACTGTCAACATGCTTCTGTTTTTCTAGAATTAACATATATTTCCTTTAACAAAATAAGTTATGCAATCAGCTGTGAATCACACGAGTTTTTTAACCTAATCTACACAGATTAATATATTCTACTGAAACTGAAAAAAAAAATAGAATCACAAACACCGTACAGCTCGCTTTTTTACAGGGGAAAAAAGAGCATTCAAGCACTGTCACTGTCACCTCTCATCAGATCAAGTCATACTTACAAAGTGGTTATGGAAGCCCTCCAGTGAATTAGATCTGTCATTCGGAAACGTTCGTGGAATATCATAACAGTCTTGAGAACTAATTTCTAAAGAAACAAGAAGAGAAAGTGGCTATTTATCATCCCTGTTCCTGTCACTTGGCACCAGGCATCCAGAATCTGTTGTTATTTACTGTCTGCTTCTGAGAGCATACAAACACACCTCCTGAAGCTGTGGCCCATAGATTTTATCTATATACTTGAAAGGACTGTGTTCACAAACAAACTTAGCACTCCTCAGTCACAACTTTAAGGTCTTGTAGTGGCATTTTTCCATGGCAAGAAAAGAAAAAGTAATTTTTCCTGTCAAAGCAGCAGTAAAGCCTTCCTTTCAAATAGGCAGGTGTAACAATTTAGTGTAAGAGTGGGTTTTGAGATACTGGGCCCTCATGAAAAATCTATTCTAAAATCAACAAACAGCAGATGGAATTTAGGGTCTGGAGAAAGGTTTTCTGACTGAACACCCTTCCCTTGGAAAGGGCTGATTCAACAGGATTCAATCTGTTGCAGGAACAGGTGAATCCCTCCTCACAGTTCCCCAGTGCAGTCTCTAGGGGCTCTCAGTTTGAACAAACTGCTACAGAACCGAAGATCTCTCCATTTCCAGGGTCCTGGCTGTTGGCAGTCTGGATTAAGAACATCCTCAGCTTTGTGGCTGCTTCTCTGGCGGGCAGGGTTTTTTTGTGAGACATCTGGCTCTCAGGTCCCAGGTCCTGCTCACCCACGCAGGCAACATGCTGCCTTACCCTGCAACAGGCATGTCCCTCCTTCTGGTGCCAAGGCAGAAACTGTGGGCAAAGTCTGGCTTTTTTCCTCCACCTTGCCCTGAAAAAAAGCTCTGAAGTTTTTTGGAGATTTCCACCTCAGAGGAAAAATAAACACTTCTGCTATTAAGCACCAATTTAAAAGAGTATTTTCAGAAAGCCTACTTTTCCTGAGGCTGATAATCTCGGCTTTAGTGCAGGACTACTCATAAACTTAGAATGACAAAGAGGATAATACTACCTGAGCACCTGTATGATCACATCTGTTCTGTATGTTGCCTCCTCTAAAGGCCCTGTCCCCATCCCCTCTCTCATTTCAGCCTCCCATCCGTATCTAGCACAACTCAAACTATTCTTCTTTAAAATCCCCTCTAACATTAGCACCAACTCTAACTAGTTTAAAATTTCACTTTAAAAATAACACTGTAATGCCCAAAAAAAAAGGAAACTCTTAGCCCAAGAGTAGTTAAGAAAACCAGAACAACTGCTTTCTCCAACAATAACTATCAGCTTCCCAATCTCTACCTCTCGCTGCATTTCTCGAGATAATAACAGGAACAAAGAAACAGCTAGGAAAAAAAAAACCCAACAACAAATTATTTGAGTAAAAGTACCTACACCCAAAATACACCCAGCTGCTAAAGGAAAAAGCAGTAAAAAAAATGCACTAGCACATCTGGAATGCCAACATTTATTTAAGTGACTATAAAGAATGACTTTTAATTTTAAAAATGCAGTATGTATATCTATCATAAGGAGAGAAATAAAGGTCAGTGGTAATGATCGCCAGATTAGGCTTGATCTCAAAGCTCTGGGTATACACCAAGTCCCAGCGACCTTCATGAAACACTTTCAGCTTCTACAGATTTAGACTACTACACACTAACCCTGCTTTGGTTGCTCTGAACAACTGATAACGGCAGTACTGAACTCAGCTATATGAACTTATTACCAAAAATCCTGATTAGTTCTTCACTGCTGTTTTCTTAAGATGGGTAAGACCATATATATGCCGAGGTCTTCAAATATTTTTAGCTAAAAAGAATGTCACACTGCAATATACGTCCCTTATTGATGTTCTGTGCTTTGCTGTTTTAATGGTTTTCTCTAATAATCTTCTCTTTTTCCTCCTTCCTGCTTATTTTAAGCATTGTGACCACAGACCACTTTTGTGAAGGGCTACACACTTGTTTTTTTAAGGCTAGAAATGCCCTTTATATCATTCAGCCCATTTGCATCATTCATACCACATCATTCATCACAAGATGACATCATTTAACACAAAAGTTCTGGAAGAGCAGGATAAAATATGGAATACTGACCTTTACGAAAGATATTCAGATCTACAGTTGAAATGGTGTTACTGCGTGAGGGTGGCACTCCTGCGGTAGGGATGCAGTAACTACTATCAGTGTCTGAAGCAGTGCGACTAATGCTACATGTTTCCACAGGAGATCGATCTGCAGCGTGGTGAGGTTTCGGTGGCCGAGGTGGAGGAATATCTGGAATAGTCTCCAGTTTTGAAGTCTGAGACAACGTTCCCTCTGGAAAAGTTCGTGGAATCTGATAAGTACCTCCAGGTGTGGGGGGAATGTCATAGCTAATGGAGATGTGTCTCATCTGTGCGTCCAATGTAGATGTTGCTGACGGGGTATTGAAAACATGTTGCTCTCCTTCTGCGTCAGTCCCAGACGGAGACGCTGCCTTCGGTAAAACATCCTGTGAGTAACTCCTAGGCAGGTTATAAAGGCTGCAGTCTGCCAGTGTTAGTCCAGTACGAGAAGGTGGAGAGTCATAGACACTTTGCTGCTGAAAAAAGCCATTCACAGCATGCTTGCTTGCTGATGGCGCAGGATTTTTGTGGGAGGGCACGTTATCGTTGCAGTCTGTTTCAGAAGAGCTGGATTTTGCTGAGTCAGCGTGAGATCTACATGTGAGATTGTGAGATTAAAATGTTGATGAAGATATAAAGAAAAACAAACATTACAAATAATAAACACAACATTTAAAATGTAAACAACTAAAAAGTCTTCCAGTATTTTTATTTTAAATGAAATGCAGGAACTTAACTACTAAACAAAGAGTAGTACTTAAGAAGGATCCCAAGTACTTACACACAGACAAATCCATGCATGTGAAACAGATAACACAAGTGTGGAGCTTTAGCAGCAGCTAAATAATAAAGTGATACGTCACAAAGCAAGTGATTTCTGTGATGCGAATTTGGAGCAGAGTTTGCTTAGGGGCTGGGAGATTTTTTAATTACTTTTTAACCCATGCTGCAAGCTAGCAGCACTTGAATGGCACTATTAAAGGCAAAAATAATACACTCACTCCTTGGGTTTACAGTACTTGCTAGTTCTAATCAGTATGAAAAACATTAGAGGAAAAAATAGGACTGCTTGTAACACTCTTAAGTGCATGCCTAAAGTTATCTACTGACCACACAAAACTGGTTCAAAATAGATAAAGAAGAGAGAAAAAAAATAGACAAGAACAGAAATAGGAAGAAGACAGCACGCTCTTTGGGGGGAAAAAAAAATCCATAGCATATATGTGCAACAGAGTGCTTTTGTCTTGATGCAAGTTAAGGCAGTGTTGTTAGATAAAACTGCACAGTAGTTTGTTTACCTTTGATTTATTTGGAAATTCCATCTTTTATGAGAACTGCACTCATTAATACTGGTACTAACCAGTACCAGTAAACTTACATGAAAAGTAAACGCATTGCAATCTTTTTTCTTTCGCATAAACCTTCCCAGTTACCTCGCTCCAGATAGAGAAATTCTGTTATCAGTCTGACTCCTTGCTTAAATGAAAGTCAAAACAGTGGCAAAATACTAACACAGGTGGAGTTAATGCAGTCCATACATCTTTTGATACCATGGTATTTCCTATTTTCATTCCCACAGTAAAAATACCATTGTTATGCTAATTTATACATACCTATGTAAATATTTCACCATGCGTGTGTATCAAGAAATAGCTGCTATACTACTCTTACCAAGCCCTATTAAACAACTGGACTATGCAGCTTACAAAACTTCTGAGAAATAAAATACATGAAAATCAAACAGCATGACTACCACAAGAAGCATTTTTTTCCCCAAATCTTAAGAGGCTCTCTACCTCAAAGTGATCACAATCAGAATTTATAATGCAAATTTCAATTTGTCAGTAAGATCACACTAAACTTTCTTTCTTAAGGGACAACTGGATTTATTTCCCAGGGTTCTGGTAACCTGAGAAGAAAGGAATCCAGTGTAGCTATTCATTTAGGTTTCCTTTGCGGCCATTGGAGAAACAGAGACTGTGTGAAACACAATCCGTCCTTCTTAGATATCCATCTAAACCCGATGAATCACCCCCAAAGTGTGCCTCTGCCAGTTATCAAGGGAACTGACATGATTAGCTTAGACCGGACATCTGCAGTCAAGAAATATGTCATTCACCTAACCAACTGGTTTTTGTTCTGTTTAATAGCAGAGATAGAATCTTCCCTCAGTCTGAGCAGCTTATGAGAGGAGTTCTCTGGCTTTAACTATATCATCCTTTACTACTAGCTTGTTCTTTCTGGTTTTGGTTTTGGTTTTTTTTTTTGGTGTGGGTTTTTTTTCATTAGAAAAAGTACACTGGTTTTGCCCTGGTTATTATTTTAAACATAGATTTAAGTTCTGTATCACTGTTTGGAATTGGTTTCTAGAGGACTCTGAACATTAATCTGCATTTAGTTC